TAGAAATAGCCACTTATAGTCGACTAATAGTCGACTAGTTGCTACTAGGGAATGGCAACATGGACGGACTAGTGTGTCCTCTTACAGATCGGTTTACGCAAATATGCCATTGTATATGCATATTTTTAATTTCAGTTTCAAACAGGCAATGCCCTTGATGACCCTACTCATGTAAACTCACCATTGCATAAAAATAGACACAAAGACATTTCAAAAATTTTTGAGTCAAAGCATAACACAATTTCAAATGAGTTATTGCAGTTGAATGTTAAATAGTGTCAAAGAAAACCAGAGCCAGGAAGATTTTACAAGGCTGGCATTAACATATAACTTTGTGAGAGTCGTATTTTGTCAAAGACTCCTGGTAAAATTAGAAATGGTATCGGTAGGAACCATCTCACTCGGTGGCGAATAAACAGTCCTTACAACACGTTAGCTGAAGAAAACATTGTGAGGAATAGTCGAATTCGGTCGCTTGCAACCTTGTATTGATGACCACGCAGCTTAGTTTTGCAGGCAAACCCAAAGAAATTCTCCGATCTTATCAAGGAATCAACACTCAGGATTATCCAAAATGACCGAGATAGCCCACACTCTTAGTGCCCGTTAGACAAGGGAAACATGTCACGTTTTTTTTTCATTTGTTCTGGTGCGCCCACCATCTTCAACGCCCTCCGTTGCACCTGTTCGAGGAACTCAACATCATCCGTCATCCACAGTATCCAAACAGACAGTTCAGTTGAGAAAGTTATCATGGTCAGGCGCCTAGTTAGGCGGACGGCATGCCACACATAGCGTCAGAGGCCTAACGTAGTTATCGGAACTAATAATACTTGACATTTCCACTTCTCTGGTAGATTAAGTACTCCGGCTATGATGGTTAACGTGGGGTGACATAAACTATAAATCCTCATCCTCCTCCGCCTCCTCTGTTCGGTTTATCTTTTCTGAAATTCTGATAGCACCCGATAAATATTCCGGAGTCCGTGCTATTTGTAGGTAACCATGTTTCCGTGAATGCCGTGATGCCTGGTTCAATCTCCCTAACTAAGATTTAAACTTAGTCCAATTAGTTAAACAGAATTTGGACACTAGTGAAGGTAACCTTTACTGATTGTCACGATTGGGATGCCCAGATTTAATTATGTTGGATTTTGCCAACAGGTATGACTACTTTATCTGGATTATTTTCTAATCTCTAATTTTCAGGCCTATCTTTCTCCGTCCATTCTCTCCTTTAGTCCCCCAGTTTCTGGGGTTTTTAACATTTCCCTCGGGTTCAGATCCTCTGATATATCGTCTAGGTTCGTGTTTTCTACCCGTTCTACTTTAATTATAGTTCAACAAGAGTTAAACACTATCTGCTTTTGTATGTGGGCAGATTAAAAAGGTAAATTCATTCTCTAATGCTACAGGCATTCCTGTCTGTAACAAATCCAATTTCTTCTACTTGCTATTTCTGAGTTAATTAGAATAAGTTTAATGGAATTCCCATGTGCAACATGCCATGTAATGCCTTTTGACACCGATGTGAAATCCAGCGTGCAATTTTGCAGAGCCAATTACTCAGTCATCGAGGAACAGTCTCTTCCGTCAGCTACCTGTCCATCTTTGCGTAAACATTAACCATAAAGTAAGATTAGAATGTTTACAGCGAACACGCCTAACAGTCCGATTAAAGATTAACATGAACAGAAACACACAATTTCCATATTGCATTCAATCAAGACGATCTTCACAGATTTTGACAAAAACTCTTCCCTTAAATTTCGGAACAGTTACGAAACCGCAACTTTCGGAATATGTCATGCAGTCCTGCTAAACACGGGAAATCTAATATGAATAATAGAGAAACGTTCCGTGGTCCTTCTCGTTACCTCCAAATTTTAACCATGATGCGAACTAATGGCGGCCACAACGAGTTCCTATTTTTCGCAAAATTGATTGTGGGCTCCTCGGTCGATAGTGAACAATCAGGCTCGTATTTACCACGCTATAATAATTTTCTTCAAAGTCTCTTCTGTCGAATCTAGGCTAACTTCAATGGTTTTATGAGCCTAAGGAGTAATTTATCACTACTTCATAAGTTTAAGGCGATTATCTTCACGGCCTTTTGACATTCTTTCCTTTTCGCCTCCCAACGAGCTGTTAACGGTTGCAGAGAGTAACTCCGTCTTACCACCCTTAAGGTTTGTTCTTTAGTGAGCAGAAAAATATCGTTTATGTCTTTAGTCGATCGTTAGGTGCAAGGTGCTCCTGCTGTTTTCCAATTTCCGCCTGGACGATAATTGTTATACACCCTCATACGCTCACACCAACAGAGCCTTCTTTCCGAAACACCCATTTTCACATACCAGCATTTGCTTATTTCTCCTTCCTAATCTCATAAATCGGATTCACTTATATACCTTCACTTATACCTTCTTTATAAGGACTTTTTCATGCTCTGCCCATTTTAATCTCTGACTACCTACTCGATGTATATATATATATATATCAGTTATAAATATATTAACAACTT